ATATATATATATATATATATATATAATCGTTTAGCATAAAAAATACATTTAAAAAACTCTATAAATTGCCGATGATTGTAAAACGGAAATTACTGATGATTGTAAAACGGAAATCATATCTTCCATGTCGGAAAATTAAATCAAAAAACAATACTAATTCGTTCAGGTATCAGAAATTAACTCAAAAAACAATACCAATACGTACAGTAAGGAAATTAAATTAATACGAACCAAATGCATATATGCGGTTTTACTTTATTCAACACGTTTTATACTTTTGCAGATTTAATACAAAAATGATTTATATCTTCTACACGATAAAATATAAATGTACAAATCCATAAGATACATTTTGTGGCCGCATATTATGCAATTTTTTTGGAGTCTGCCAACAAAAAAATAAATATTAATATTTCAATTCATCAATTAATTAAAGTTGGACGTAAAGATTAGTATTTACATTCCTATAAAATACCCAAAATCCTACACTATCCAATTTTTATTCCCTTTCAATAAGTTTGTAATTAAAAGCCACTCTCAACAATTAAATTAATTGAAATTAAGATATATTAATTGATTCCTATATATATAAATAACATATTTTATCAACTTTTCCAATTCATGTCCATAAAAAAATCGCATAGAACTTTCGAAAAATATTAAAAAAATGAGAGAGTTATTTGATACACTTCATGCTATTAATAAGCAATTCTAATTATTGAGATGAAGTTTGACGTGGAATCCAATAATCTTTTTGAGATCATCTTTCAAGATCGTGAGGTAATATTTTGATTTGTTATATCTGTATTACTAATATACATAATTTTTTAATTTAACTTATTTTGTATAATTTCATATTGGAATAACTGCCATTATACGTTCTGCGTATATATGTGCATTTCGAGGTGTATTTAAGCAAGACGATATATATGCACTCAGGAGGTTTTTAATAATGTATAATTTTTTGCTAACGACAATTTTATGTTTACTTTATAAATGTCATACGTGTTATAACAACTTATTAATAAATGGCCATTTAATTTTTTAAATTTTTCTAAAACATGTACTAGCTCGTGCATCGCACGGGTTACATACTAGTATATATAAAAAGAATTAGCATTTACTAAAAATAGTATCAAAAAATTAGGAAACATTTAATGCATACTATTTTTGGAAATTTTTTAAATATATGCATTAATTGTTTCTATTTACACGTTTTCAAATAAGATCA